AATGTGTATTACACACAGCACTGTTGGGGAACACACAGATGAGTGGAAACAATTCCAGGCTTGGAGGCAAATATATAATCCAGAATGAGACACAGTCACACAGAAATGGACATATATCTACTGGATATGACTTCACACTGGACTGGACAGTTTCCTTTGTTATCCCCAGTTTTCCCCAGTTTATTGTTATATTGTTATACGATTGTGTGTACCCCCAGTTGTGGTTTTAAAATCCTGCCCTCCATATTGTCTCCTTCTTCCCCTCAGAGTTTTCCCTCCAAAACCTGTTGTCCTCCCCTGTTTTCCCGCTCCTCTGCCTGCCATCGGCTGATGTTTGGTGCAGTGCAGCTACCATTGGCCCATTCCCCCGGTTACACCCAAGACTCCTCCCTTCCTCACCCAGTCGCCCTATCATAAGTGTCCCTGAGCTGCCAATCCTAGACTCCTCCCCTCTCCTGGTTCCACCTCCTTATCCTACCCTATTTAAGTCTCATGCTCCCCCAATAAAGTTGGCATTGCTTCACCTGCCTCTACTGTGTCAATACCCCTTTTTGCAGTGCCTGGTCCCATTCCTTTTCCCCGCGGGCCGTGGCACAGCACTGTTGTTAAGGGGGTACTTATGGGCTTCTAAGTCAATAACTGAATCCAGGCTCCATATGCCAAATATAACCCTGCACCAGCTGGTTTAAAAGCTGTTTCTCTCCATCTCAGTGAGAGCTCTGGGTAAAATATTCATGACTTGAAAGGAGGCCCTGGAAATTATTACTTTTATAAATGGAAAGAAAAATTAATTCTATGTTTAAAGCACAAAGGAATCCCTGTATCTTTATGTTCTCTTTTTCCCCACACTAGCTCCGTTCAAATAGTCATTCCATAGCTTTATGATACTCCTGGCACTTGTCTAGAAACAATCTTCTTTTTCCTCACAGTTTATGAAATAAATACCTGTGTGGAAGTCAAATATTTTGATCAGAATTCAAAAAGCTAGTATTAGGTAGGGTGAATCTCTAAAGGTTCGTACAGTATTCAGATCTGCAGACACTTCATTACAAAGGTTTAATCTACTAGACAAGTAGCACCCTGGAGGATAAAATGTATTTGTGTATGTGTTTGTGTGTGTGTGTGTGTCTGTTTCGAGTTCTCAGTTGCTCAAACAGTAATACATTGGCCAACGCCAAATATTACTTCACAAAGAGGCAGTTCTGTTTTGTATTCAGAGTCAGTTGCTTATCTGACCAGTGAAAACATAAAGTCACTGTAAGGTTTTGATTTATTAGAATGCTACCTTTTCCTGATTGCTGTTTAGAAGAGCACCTCATTACTTGACCAGAGCATGGGAAGTGAATAAAAGCTTTCATAATATATCTCTTACCAGAAATACTGCAAGGTCACATTACATAGGAACTGGAGGAGCAGGAGGAAGGCAAGGTAATTCAGATAACCTTAACTGAAGAAAATAACTTTAAACATCAAAAAAGTGAGATAAACCCCCAAAATTTTGATGTGCGTATGTGTTTTCCTCATGTATCTTCTTTTTTTTTTTTTTAATACTTTTCTTTGTAAAAAAAAAGTCATGAAAAAGAAAAAGATTTTTTTGGGGGACAAAATAGTTTAAGTTCTGAAAACTGTTTATTCTCTCGAGAGTCCTAATTTTTATGCAACTTCCAAATTCTCTCAATTCTCAAATGAAAATAATTTTTTCTAACTAGATATTAAAAAACATCTGTTCTGCTGTGTTGTAGCATCATCAAAGATTTGCATACAGTGAAAGAACTGAAAAAAAAAAACAAAGAAAAAAACCCCAAAAAGTCCTGAATATGACATACAAAGAAATTGTCTCAGTATTTTTCCACAAATGAATGTTTTTCTTTCACCCTTTAAGGGACAAATGTTTTAGGTCCAAGTATTACTACTACTAGGCCTCATTTCACTTAGCTGCATACAGCATAGTTATAGACCAATATGAAATTATTTCTGTTGTGGATCTTTGAGATACAATCTTAGACATGTTTTAAACTATAAAACTATTAAAGGCCCAATTTGTCTACCACAAAGTACAAAGAACTCTATGGTAGAAATAGTATGCTTCACTAAACACAAATATCCTACAATTGCCTTTTACCTTGTGACGCAATGCTTTGTTTTCAGTCGCAAAAGCAATGCTGTGGTCCACCACCCCTTTGCACACCCTATAGAGTCACCCTGCACACAGGATTGCAGCCTTAAATAATAACCAACTGTCATTCCTCATGTTGTGAATGAAAGCAGTTCTAATTTAACCTGGAGCACCTATGGTAGCTGTGACAGATGAATACAGAGCTTGTTCCTTCCAAGTAACAGGGTGTTGCTTCTTTGTCCAAACTGAACTCTCTTGTAGGTGTTTTCTAACTGTTTTCAGTTTAAAAGAAGCAATGTGGCTAAGATTTGCTTTTCACATCCCATAGATGTAATGTTCTGATTTTTGATTGAAATAAATAAAATTTCTGTAAATGAAGATTTGTAGCTGTCAGTTCTGAGGCACTGGTAGTGAGCAACTGTGGGCAATAACTTCTTCATTTGGCATAGCTGCAACTGGAGAGGATATATGCTGACAGCCTGGCTCATCTGAAATAACACAGGGGAATCTCAAGAAGCCAAAGTGGTGGAATTTGACCAGAGGAAAGGATGCAAGCTCCCTACAAGCTTACAGAGCACCATTACTGAAATAAAGTTCTCTTGCCAAAATGAAACTTCATTCTAAATTAGAAATGAAGGAAAATGGGTGGATGTGGCAAAAAAAGAGGGAATCACAAACCAACAGTAAACAAAAAATGAATTAACATAGTAAATGGTGGCCGCAAGAGGTCTAAGTACTGTACAGTGTTCTCAGAAAGGGATTTAATCTAGGATTTAAATTTCCATTGCAGATTGAAATTCCTTAGATGGCGTGCCCTAATTAATTGTGGATTCAGTCCCTCTTATTTATATATTTGTCTGCACTGATAGTAGCTTTGTCCTTGCAATAAAAGTTGGTCATATGATAAAGAATGAGGAATTAGCTGAAATAATAAAGGCAATGGGATTGTGCAAAGCACCCGTAACAATCAGATCCATCTGTCTAAAAGCAGATAAGATTCAACGTGTCAGATCAGAATCAATGTGATTGCCAATGATCATTAACTTCAATCTTCCTCAATCTGTGACCCACACTATGAAAATGTAGTCTTGAAAATTATTAACTTAATCTTGCCTCTGTATCATTTAATACTAGTATGCAACACTTTTGTGATCCTATAGCATTGCCTCAGTAAGCTTTTGCTGCATGCTTCCACAGTGACGGAGGATTCTCTTTGTGAGCCTTTCGGTTAAAGCCTACCAGGCTGAAATTATTTAGCCAAAACAAAGCATATTGCCTGGAAAAAAGTAGGAATTCCATCCCCTAAGGCACTTCAAACAGATCTGTCAGTTAAATTACTCTAAGATCTCACAATGGCTCAGTCCATGAAGCATGTTCTACTCCCAGCTCATGTCCTGACAGGTATTTCTGCTAAACAACTGGCATCTATATGTCACCAGAAACAAACAAACAAATAGAATAACCCATACCTTTTATTTTGCCATTTGACTTCAATCATTTGGATTTGAAAATGTTTCAAAAGCGTATTCCTGATATCAATATCTTTGTGACATAGAACCAAAAAGAATTGTCAGGCTTCATTCAAGGAGTTCTGTCCTGAAAAGTAAACATTGGGTGAGAGCCAAAATGTCCTAGCTTCAAGTAAATGGCTTTTTCTCTTAGAAGATGGTTCATCTTCCTATAAAGTATGAGAGGACTATGAAAAAGGTTGATTCTGGATCATGTCAATATTGAAAAGAAAGAGAAAGTGTCACTTAAGGAGATTTTTACCAGAAGTTTAATTTAACATGTTGTGGCTCTAAATACTATGAAGTCCAGGCTCACCACCAAAATTAACAGAAACAGTAGCTGCTAAAATTTCAAATTTAGTTTATTTTTCCTGCTTTCACATTTCTTTTCCTTCACCTTCATTGGAGAAATTAAAAAAAATACAAAAATTATAAATACAAATAATAAATGAGAGACAAAGAAAGGATTTTCAAATGATATCAAGATAGAAGTTCTATATGAATTCTCATCATCACACATATATAGACAAAACCAATTAAATTAAGAATTTTTTGGATAAAAATACTTTTAAAAATAAAAAGCAAAGAGAATTATGAAGTTTCAAATTTGCTATAAAGCTATTTTAGGTGGTGCTTATAAAATATTAACTCTGTTGGTGTATTATATCCCTATCTACTCTACAGGGCAGAAATACACAAAAAGATATGTAATTATGATGCATATATAAAGAAATAAGGAAAACTAGTATGCTTTTCAAATAATCACAGAATGGATAAGGTCAGAAGGAACCATTGGAGGTCATCTGGTCCAACATCCCTGCTCAAGGAGGATTCTTTAGAGCATATTAAACGAAGTTGTGTTCAGCTGGCTTTTGAGTATCTCCAAAGAAGTAAACTCCAGAACCTTTCTGGGCAACCTATAAATTTCTATGAGAACTGTAAACTTAAGAATGATCTCAACAATCAAGGTAAATCTAATGGATTTTTAGTATTGTTCCTTGAAGATAAAACTATTTCACAGAAAATCTTGCTGAAATATGAAATAACTTTCATATGGAAAAGCAAGTTTACAAGAAAACTGATAGTGAATATGTATGAAATACTATGGTGTAAATTTCTAAAATAACAGTCCTGAAAACTTTACGTACTTCTCCTTAAAAAATAAATGGTTCTATTATGCAGAGATATCTAGGGTAAAGGATTATGTCTGCAAGTCTGCTTTCCTAGTAATATTTCTAGGTAAAACTGACAAGATAAAAACAGAAGAAAAACAAATTAAAAAAAAAAACATAAAAACCCCCACACTAAAATAAAAGAATAAAAGACAATAAAATTATGAAAAGTAAAGGAAGAACTGTATTGAAAAATATACAGAGATAAAGTTTTACTATTTTACATTGAGGTTGAAAATTAGAAATCAAATATTCAGCCAATAACTGAAAGATTACTCACTTTCTGAGACCATTAAGCAACACTGTACCCCAGGGGTCAGAAATGTGTCCAGTCGTGTTTAACATCCTCATTAAACATCTGGGATCCTCCAGGCTGAAACGCAGCTTTGCAGAATAGGACTTTCTGGAGGTTCTCTCTGAACTTCAGAAAACTCTTGTTCACTGTAAGCATGACTAAGCTGTGGTACAGTCTGCCTTGAAGTGGTGGTGTCTTCATCCTTGGAGATGTTCAAAAGCTGTCTGAACATGGTCCTGGACAATTGACTCTAGGTGGCTGTGCCTGACTGGGGGGCTTGGTCCAGATGATCTCCAGAGGTCCCTGCCAATCTAGATATAACCACCCTATATTATTCATATAAATAAAATAAAATAAACAATTTTAAATATGCTTTACCAAATGATTACTTGATGTGATTTTCAGAAATTACTTAAGTAGGTGCCAAGCTTTAACAGAGTATTTAGCTGTTAGACATAGCCATATTTGTATTCCAAAAGTTTCTTCTGAAAACAGGGTTTGTTTTTAAGAAATTATTTTCTATTGGACTAATAAAACTGTTATGTTACAGGCTAATGTGAAAAAATTAAACTTCAAAATGAAGGGTGATCTGTTTTATTGAGGGAGTACAGTCACTGTTCAGTCTTCCCTTTTGGAACAAATCAAAACATCACTTTCAGTATTTACATAATACTATAAACATACAAAACCCACATGAAAGATTGAGAGATTTCTAGAAGTCAGCAATAGGAGCATTATCCAAGCAAATAGTCGCACACATTACATCAGAGCATGGAGATAATGCACCCTAAGACTTAAATCTGCAGAGATATATTCCAGGATATGTGGTTGGTGCAATAATAATTCTGTGGGTTTTAGGTTAACTTTCTTATGTTGAAGAGATACACGTCTCTGTGGTGGCTTTGCCGCAGCTGGCAGGTAAGATCCCATCTGTATCACACTCACTTCCCTGTATCTGGATGGGGGAGAGAATCAGAAAGGCAAAAGTGAAAAAACTTATGGTCTAACAAAAAGGCAATTCAATAAGTGAAATGAGTGATGAACACCTAACTTGGCCTGCAGTCCCCCTCCCAATTTTATCGGTTTTGTTTCTCGACCCAATCTCATATGGTACAGAATACTCCTTTTGTTAACTCAGGTTTGTTGTCCCCGCTGCATCCCCTCCCAGACTACTTGATAGCCAAACAGAATGAGAAACATTGTGAAGGCACTGTTCAGCAACAGCTGAAAACATGGAATTGTTATCAATAGTTTTGGTCACAAAACCAAAACACAACACCATTGAACATAAGAAAAATGGAGAAAAGTAACTCTGTCCCAGACAAACTGCAACTGCTGTGCTGTCTGGTACACTTCTTGTAGCAATCAGTAAGTAGAGACATCTGTCATCTCAAGAGAAAGGAAAAGAGGGGAAGGAGGAAAGGGAAGCAGAAGATAAAAAACAAACAAACAAACAAACTAAAAATAAACAAAAAGAGAAAAGGAAAAAACTGAGGGGAAAAAAGGGGGAGGGAGGAAATGGAAAAAGGGAGAAAGGGAAAGGAAAAAGGAAAGGGGGAGGAGAAAGTGAAAGAGAAAAGGAAAAGGAAAGGGAAAGGAAAACCGTCCGTAACTCCAATAATTGTTTGAAAAAATTGATAAGTAATTACTTTTTAAAACTGGAACCAGAAAGAGGCTGTGATCTGTTTTCTTAAGTTGTTTAAATTGTGCACTAGTTAACCTTTAAAAAGATATAGCCATTTTAACGTTGGGGTTCTTTTCTTACTCTTTTTATTGCTACTATTTCAGTAAACATACTTGCAAATTTCCTTTAAAGAATAGGCTGTGATGCTCCAAAACAATAAACTAACTACATCCTATTATATGCTATTGTTGCATAGACTAAGATGGGACCAAGCGTTACAGTACAAATTTATTGCAAGTATAATCTTGACTAAAGAAGCGCCACAAACAAGCTGCTACAGTTATCTCTATTTTTAAGAGGAATATTTTTCAAGATACATTTTCTGTGACTTGAAATTTTGTAGACAACTTTGATCCTCTGTATTTTGAAGTTTTCCTTTTATATGTTTTCTATGGGATTTCAAACTACTTTGTTAGTCATTTGTCTGCTGCACATTTTCTTCACCGTGTTGCTGGTCAGTTTGTCTGACCAAAGTCCTCATGGCATTTTATTTTTTCCTTTCACTGTGGTTTTTTCATGTTCCAGAATTTCAAATCCAACATGACCTTTACTGTCAGGAACACCCTCTGGGTGTTCCCTTGTTGAGGTTTGGAAGAGCACTGACAGTATGCCCTAACAACACTGGAGAAACACATGCCCGCTATCCTGACTGTAGAAGTCTGACATCAGTATGTTCAAGAAAAGCAAAGAGTTATAGTCCTATTGCAAACTACAGTGATCAAGAGCAGGGCTGACCCTCTAGTGACACCGCTTATATACTCTTTTTTTTTTCCCCAATTCTTCAACTGTACTACTCTCATCACTTCCTAAATAAATATACCACACTGGTTATTCTTACTTCTTCAGCTGACTTGATACCTTTTTTTTTGAACTTAAGAGTTGCCTTGGTAATCTCTGTTTAGCTAGCAAACCACTAAGTTCTTGCCCTCCTTCTTGTAAAATTATACCATTAGCTTCTTAGTAAAACTAGATGGCTCAGATTAGCTGTCTGCTGTGATATCAGGAGCATATCTGTGATATCAGGAGCATCTGGCAGCTTCTCATGTTACTATGTAACTGGACTAGATGTACAGTGGGGACAGACCATTTTTTTTTTAATTATTATTTAATAGCTGTGACAAAGTCTCTGATACTGTGTTCCAGAGCCAGAAGCAGCTACTGAACAATTACCTGCCATAGTTTAACTGCAGCTGCAACTAAGCACAATGCAGATGCTCAGTCATCCCCCTGCCCTCTCTGATTTCAGTGTCATCTCATCTCTTTCTCACGATTCTGCTTCTACCAGAGTTGACAGGGATAAAATGCCTGAAATGCCTCAGGCCATTCAGAAATAGTTCCTAAGAAAGTCAGTGACTCTGTATGTTTAATAAGAATTCACACTATTTTTGTCAAGAGTGGGTTAAATTGCAAATTATTTAGAGCAGGATTCTCTTGTCGAAGGGATACCTTTTCTTAGAGAGGTGAATCAGAGCTGTGCTCACTTGCCTTTTGTTGTTCGGAATTAGAGAACAAGGTACAGAAGAATATGCAATTGAGGAAAACAAACAAACTCTAACAGATTTTTTTCAGGCTACTGGTGTTAAGCTTAGTAATGACCTCACAACACTGAAGCAAGCTCTGCAGCTGTCTTAAATGCTATCAATGATGGGAACACCAGGAAGGATAGTGAGAAATAATTCATCTATAACATTAGTATCTCTCTCTGGGACAGCTAGAATAACACAAAAAGGAAATGTTAATCTGTTACTTTGGGGGCTATACAGCATCCTGATTTGCACTGCCTCAGCTGTTATGTCTTGAAAGAGCACAAATTAATGTCTGCTTGCAGCTACCTCTATAGAATGATCTTCAAGTCTCTGTTAGGGAATAGTCAATTACAAAAATTTTTTTCATAAACATTAATCCACAGTGATTTTTTTATGTGGGTAAAAATGATATGCTAAGGGCAAAAAACAAACGAGAAAATGATTTTAAAATAATCACAGAATCGCAGAATGGGTAATATTGAAAGGGAACACAGTGGGTCATCTCATCCAACCTCCCTGTTCAAGCAGGGTCATCCTAGAGCACATCACACAAGATTGTGACCAGATGGTTCTTGAACATCTCTGTGAGGGAAACTACACAACCTCTCTGGACAATCTGTTCCAGTGCACGGTCACTGCACAGTAAAGAAGTTCTTCCTCATATTTAGGTGGAATTTCTTACGCATCAGTTTCTGCCCATTGCCTCTTGTCCTATTGCTCAGCATCCCCAAGAAAAACCTGGCTCCACCCCCTTGATACCCTCCCTTCACATACACAGTAATTGAAGCGTTCACAAAAAAACATGCGGAAGTTGATGTTCAGCAGGTTCTTGAAAGATAACACAAATCATATTTGAGATTCTAGTAACTGTAAAAATTTACTCCATTTAACTGTATAGAGAAAATAATGAAAAAAAAAACCAACAAAACCATGTCCAAACAGTATTGGAGGGTAACAGTAGAGATGATCTTTCCTTCTGGAATTTTAGAACACAAGAAGGAAGTAATTATTAAGTGAAATGCTTGTTTGCTATTTCTTCCAAGAAATAACACTGTTATAATAATTTTTTTAAAATTAGTTTGTTGAAGTATCCCTGGAAAAACATAGCTCCTAATAAACCAGCAATTCATTTACAGTAATAAAATAACAGAAGAACACATCAAGGAGGTTTTAGAAGACATGGAGTTACTGACTAACACCTTAAGTTAGAATATGTCAAGCTACTGAAGCACAAGAAGTAATTAGCTTGTGTCCTATATAGCATTGTGGCTAAGCCAGAGTCAGACAGTCCTGACATAATTATTCTTGGATTAGCATTTCACACAACATTGAAATCTTTGTCCAAACTGATAACACGGAATATATGTGGCAGTTTCTGGTAGTGTCACTGTCTCCCATCTGAGTGAGAAAATCAACTTATGGTGCTCACAGAGGGATAAAGAGAACCAATACCATCCTGACCTTCTACTCTTCTGTCAGTGGTAATTTGGATTCCCTGTGTCCTTGAACTATGACCAGAATGATATCTTCTATATCTTGGTGACAGTTCACTGGCAATAGCCGATGATGAACATTAGCTTGGATCAGGACTTGCAAATGCTTTTGGTTTTAAAGAGGCTGGCATGACTCTTTTTCAAGGATAAAGCAATGCATCAACATCCTGGCGTAATCAATATTGAACCAAATTTTACTTCAAAGTTTTTCAAGTAAATACAAGAATTAGCCCCATACTACTTAGTGGCCAGTAAATTTACTGCATGAGCCCTCCTGACAGTTTGCTTAGAAGACAAATATCTCCTGCTGTTTCTAGCAATGTTGCAGTATTTTCAGATTGTCTTATCATGACTTCAGACTGTCTTTTCAAGGAAACAGATGAAGCAGTCTCCACTAAACTAAATTAAATTAAATTAAACTAAACTAAACATATTACATGCCAGCTAAGATGGGTGAGAAGTCAACAAAATTTTAAAAAAGTGAAATCCTCCTTTCTTCCCTCACATCCCTAAAGAACATAACACTACATTAACTACTTATGATAATAATCTCGAGCAACATGGTGGTGTCTTTGTCACCGCAGCAAGAAGATGCCCAGGCTAGTCAAGTACAGCCAGACTGGGTTTCTCCAGTTAGGCTTTTATTGTGAGTAAAAAGAACAGGATTTTTCCTTGGAGTTTATCAGCTCGGTTACCTTTAGTTTCCACTTCCTGTACTGAAAGTGCTGACTCAGGATCACCGCAGTGAACTACAGTGCAAATCTCACTGCTGTTATGCTGAGAGGCTGACATAATATTGCATATATATCTTTTATGCTTACTAATAGAATACACTACGACTATTTCAGTAGAATTGATTTGTAGCAGAACTTAATAAATACGGGGACCTTTCCTATCCATTCACAGTCATAGAGAAATTGTGTGTACTGGGAGGTGACTGCATGTCTTAATAAATAACCTTATAAAAGTTAAAAGTCAGCATTTACTGTAGTGGCTAAAATAAAATCTTCCTAGTGTAGTGTTGCAGTGTTTTAAGGTTAACTGTGTTCTTTCCAATGTGAGCTAAAATTAGACTCTTCGTTTTATATTGGCAGAAGAGCTGAGCAATCTATGGATAACTTTAAGGCATTTTACACAGTCTACTGGCTGCAGTATGTACTAGAGTCAGAGTTTATTCAAGAACTGGCATGTTGTTTTTCTGAAGCATTCAATTTCATGGGTGGCAGATCACATTGCAAAGCGATGGTTATGACACTTCACCATCTTGCATTGTGATATGTCAGCATATGGTAGAAAGCTGCATTTCATCCCATGAATTGTTATAATGCTTCCTGAAACATAACATGAAGGGAAGCTTTGTGGCAGATCACTTACCCATTAAGTGCTGATATCTGATCTGTAATCAAACAGGAAGACAAGAGGAGACAGTACCATGGTTCATCAAGTAGTATAATTATTTCTGAATAGCCAGGCACACTTCTGGAATCAATGAAGTATTTCTCTTTTTCTTTCCTTGACTTTCATTTATGACTGTGGGTATCAAAAATGACAGCTGATGGAACAAATACTTCTATTTATGTTTTTTATAGTATTAATATAATTAGTAGCATCAGTCACAATAACCAGACACAGCATGCAGTAATGACACTCCTGCCATTAAACAACTGTAATGCAGAAGCAAAAAGTCCCATGAAGAACACTGTTTCCGAAGGTAGATGAAAGCATTTGGTTAAATCTATGTATGTATGTGTAGTGGTTTGAACCTTGTTTTCCCCAGAGGCTAAGAGAAGTGGTAGACCCCAAGGGGTGGAAACCCCTGGAAGTTTTGAAGTTCTGCCCAATGGGCGCTCCTGCAGAAATGTAAACATACCACAACCAGACCGGAAAAGAAAGGTTGTAGTTTTGGTTGTGGTAGGAGAGGTGGCCATGTTGTAGAGCCACGAGGTAGGGGCTCTGAGCCCCTTGGGGCCTCTGGCCCCCTCCCAGCCCCTGGCTGGGGGCTGCAGGGACCTGGAACAGCATAAAGCTGGGCTAGGTGCCTGTAGTTATGCCGGGAGATGTTTTCTCCATGGGCACAGAGCAGCAGCCGACGCTGACCAGAGAAACGGTGGCAGAGAGCCAGAGATAAGGACCTGAACTGGAGGAGCAGCAGAAGCAACATGCAGCACCAGAGAAAGGACTCCTGGAAGGAGAGCCGAGAAAAAAGAGAGCCAGCAGCAGAGAGACAGAGTTTGGGGTAAGACTGTACCACATTCCCCCAAAACTCCCTTGAGACCCCTCTTGGAGAAGAGGGACATGGACTCCTATTTTGGAGAGCAGTTTTGGACATGCAGCACCGGAGAGAGAGAGGAGCTGAGAAGCTCAGAGCGTCCCGGAGCTGGACCGGGACGGCCAGATGGAATGCGGGGGGAGTTGACCTTGGCTCTCCCCCCCCTCGCACTGCTGCCACGGTGGCAGCCTGAGAGACAGGGCACAGAGGCCCTGCAAGAGATACCAGACCGTCACGAAGACCCCCCTGTGTCTTCGTGATATGATGTGGTGATACGACCTTGTCTGGGGTTACGAAGCCCACGGAAGACCCCTCGGTTGTGAGGCGATGGGGCCGGGGGAGCTTGAATACCTCCCTCGTGGATGCTGGCAGAAAGCCAGCTATCAGCTGCTGCATGCATGAGAAGAAGAAACCTGCTGCCTCAGAAGATGCTGCTGTTTAAGGACTGGAAGGAATCTGTCCTTCTTTCCCTCCTGGACTTTTATTTGGAGGAGAGAAGAGATCTGATCCATTGTAAATACATATGTCATGGTAGAGATAGTTTGTGATCGTGTGTATAATGTGATATGGTATTTATTTGTACAGTCATTGTAATATATTCCCTTTTCCCCACTTTGAGTCTGGTGTGTTTTGTCTGGAAAAACCCATCTCACATTAGGTTGAGATGTGGGAAGGGGAATGGAGCTAGGGAATTGGATGTTGGGGCTATCTCAAACCATGACAGTATGCAAGTTTCTGGGACAGACTGCTTTACTATGTGTGAGTGTCAAATATCGTGAACAACTTCCCCATGATTCAACTATGTTTTATGACTGCTGTATTTCCTGACATCCATATTGTTTATATTTATAGCTATGTACATATATGTATGTATGGAGGTAAAAGATAGATATATGTATATATATATATATATATATATGCCTGTAATATAGTATAATATAAATTACCTATATAACCTTAATCTTCCTTTTTGGGTTGTTTTGGTGATGACTGGTAATTGCCAGAGCTAGATGAAGACTAGATTTTTCTGTTCTTCCTTGGGTAGTGGAATAATTATCCCAGAGATGGTCCAATTTAAGGCAATTACCCAGGAGACGAAGCAGCCACAAACCTCTAGTGAGCATACATGTAGCAAGACAATGCAATCACACATGACTATTGGATTAATACTATTTTTATAAGCCCTATTAATTGTTTGTATTATTAAAACACACAGGCTATGTTGGAAATGCTTAATAATCATGAGTCACTCTGGTTAGGACCTCAGGAACTGAGCAGACACAAACGACAAAGAACAAAAGAAAAGAAATAAAATAAAAAAAAGAACTCACAAAAATAGTAGTACTCTCCTCATTTTACAGACCTGTGTCTGCACTCACAAATTCTATATGTGGCAAAGAGAGGATTTCACTTCAGTCTTCTGAACCTTGTCTGCAGATATACCACTTCTTGTGGTGGGCAAGAAGATTGCATACCTTTCTGCAACCAGTTCATATCCAGTGTAAGCTGTTACCAACATAATGTCATTACAAACTGATAATTCCTTAGTGATCTATGTTAAATTTCTTGTTGGAGAGTTCTATGTAGGCATGCCCAGAAAACAAAAGCATCATTGTTATCTCCAGTTGGCTCCCTTTTTTTGTTTGTTTTTTACTCAGGCTTAGTCCAAGATTTGGCTGAACTTTGGGATTCTTCTCAGAAAAAAAATTACTGACACTAGGTTATCTAGAAGGTATGGTGGTGATGCAGTGGAGATTCTCATTGCTTCTGACTTGTACCTGTTGTACAATCCACTGAAGTGTTAAGCTAGTGCTTTCTGACAGCTCTAAAAACATTTAGAAAAAAACTCTTTTACAAATAATATTCTGACACCTAATGGCATCTAAAATGATGCTAAGAGGCATTCAGGCATGATGAAACTATGGACAATTAACCTTCTCTGCCAAAGCTTTGCAGAGTTGAGTTCTGCCACCTTTTGACATGAAGTGTGAAAATACAAAACATGAAATGCTTAGTTGCAATTGGATATTGTCAATGTATAAATATTTGACAACATACTGTGGATTAATGACTGTTCATGCGCTTTTTGCTCTTTTTGGTAGCTATCAGCAAAATACTGCAACAACTTTGAAGGAAAGTAGGCATTGTGTATTCTTTGACAAAATGTCACCAGCCTTAAAGTATAAAGCAATTCAATAAATCTAATCTGCAAGGATAATTTGGACTTTGATTGGACTATAGACTAAGAGATTTGGATTTTTTAAATATTAGGAAAAAATAGTAGTTGGTTTCCCCTCTGTCCATGCATTCTGGTCCCTTCAGTCCTGGAAAAAAATGGATGTATGACATCAATTTACATGGGGATCAGTGAGCCAGAAAAAAATAGTAAAAGACTCATACTGTTCCTCCAGGTTGTTCCCACTGGGCTCCTAAAAGCTGGTAAGCTGCAGATGACTGTTTAACAGGTAGGAAGAAAGTTAAACACTCTGGCGAGTCTCTCTAGAGGCAAAGACCCCCACCTTGGTGGTCAGGACAGGAGACAATGAAACATGCCAGTAAAGACTTTAAGAGTCAATCTATGACAATTTTATTTTTCTCCAGGATTATTTATTTTTTATTCAGTGACTACAGTTGAAGAATAATGAACCAGGAAATTCCCAGATAGGGCATATTGCTGCCTTGTCCCTATTTTGTTGAAAACATAAGGCTGTTCTTGGTGGGTTGTGGAGTAAAACATATTTCATTAATGCATGCTATTCCCAAGGCAAATTATATGCTATAAAAGATACTATGAGAAAAAGTTGCATATTTGTATAAATATTTGAAGATGTTATGTTGGTATCACACAATCCTCAGGTAAGATCTTGTCTACCTCACCAAGCGATCAGCATGAGGTAAAAGAAACAAGTGTGAAAGGTGGAGGTCCAAAATGGTCTACTGTATGATGTGGTGCCAGCAATTCAATGAAAGAGAAGGGAGAGTAAAGGGGAAGTTGTAAATGAACTAACTTCCTGACTAAGAAAGACACTCCTCAATCCAAGTTATTGTTTGGGATCTTTGATTTCAGTATCAGCATCTGTTACTGGCTCTTTAAAAAAAAGCTGACCTATGCCCATGAAAATACTTGAGATTTTAGTGATCTTCATTTTGCTACAGAAAGGACTTCCAGGGAAGGAATAAAATTCAGGGACTCAACTGCATGCTGAAATCCTAGCTATTTTCTGTAGGATGAATATCACTGCAGTCATAGCATGGCAATATTGGAAGAGAAAGTGGTTTTCAATCACTTTACTAGTAGTGTGATGTAAAGAAATCTCATGTACTCTCATGTACCATTGTCCTAATTAAACATTAAATTCTAGGTATTCTAAGAATTCTGTAGGGAAAACAAAAATCACCACTGTCTTGTTTATAAAGCACAACCTTACTACTGAAGAAATTTTCTCATTTTTCCTAACAAGTTGTGGTAGTTTGGTCTGGGCCTTCCTTGGTGACCAGTTTGTAACCAAGGAAGGGTCCAGGTTTACCCAGTATTCCCTACGATTTTTAATTAAGCCAGGCTATAAGAAGAAAGGAGGGAAGGCCTTCACTCTCTTTCCTTCCGGCAGCTTGGAGGTGCAGGTTCCCTGCTGTTGAGTCTGTGGTGTTGGGGAGCGAGGCCTGGTAAGGCCTCACAGACCTTGGGAGGCAGAGGTTGCCGGCGATCGTTCCAGAGCGACTCTCCGTTGTCCCAAGGAGAGTAGTGAGATATTTCTTTGCTAACTTTTTTTAATTGCTAGATATTGGGCTACTAATTGGGACATATATATATATATATATATTATTTTGGTTTTGTTCCTTTTCCCTTCCGCCTTCCCTTTCCCTTGTGAAATAGTATATATTTCAATTGTATATAACTGTAACATAAGTGTAAATATATTTATATATATATATTGCTTTAGCTCTCTCTCTCGTTTCGGTTTTTCTTGGTTGTTTTTCTCCCTCTTCTCCCTGAGGTTTGGGGGGAGGGGGTGACTTCTTGTGGTAAGGTTTGGAGACTTGGCAGGGAGCCAGCTTCAAATCATATCACCAGTATACATCATCAGAGATGAAAGAAGAACCAGTCCTTGTAACTATAGCTGCATTTTTTGGTTGCTGGTTGGTTGACTTGGTTTGGTTGTTGTTTAATTCAAAAACAAACAAACAAAAAATCTTCTGTTTTCCTAAACT